TAGTATTTTAGTTTTCAATTTTATAACTTAAAAACATTTGAATTATTTTGATTTATCTTCTTTTTATTATCTTGTTATTTTTATATTTAAGAAGCCTATAAATACCCTTCATGGGTAAGAGGTTGAACATCTCTTGTTTTTACTTTGTTTATTTTTTTGGCATTTTTATTTTAATTAAAGTTCCATTTTCTTTTCACTTTCTTTCATTTCCAAGTTATTTTATTTTACAAATCCATGTTAAGTATGATGATCAATATCATGCTTAGCTAATTTCCTCGTGCCAAGAGCTAGTAATGAATCGATTTTATTCATGAGAATCGAACAAAGCACTTAAATCCCTTCGGGATACATTCTCGTTTTCTGGATAAAAGAGTTTGGCAATTGGCCTTGTTCATAATTTTTAAACATTTTCGAATCAAAAAGTCAACGTTGGTCCGAACATTGTTTGAAAATACCGTTGTGAGGAAGGATCGGTCTGTGGCACTTCGACTTCCTGTGAACACGCTTAGCTGCAGGTCCGCTAAGGGAAAACAAGATCGAAATCATTTCTCAACGAGACAACATCCGAGTCGAGACTTTCCAGTTTTTAATTTGAATGTTTTAACGGTAATTGATATGGTTAATCCACTCAAAAATCGTCTTTTAAAGATAGACTTGGGAAAAATCGGTTACACAAGAGAAGGGCAAGTTACAATGGGTTGGGCCTTACAGACTGTAACCGACATGAATCTCAGAGCAAAAATACATTTCTATGATCGAAGGAATCGAAACAAAGCTAGCTCGAGGCAGTTTCTCTCATCGTAATTTTCCCCAAATTATTTATTACTTTCTTCTGATTCATTACTTTATTCAATTAATTATTTGATTTTACTTAGTTTGCTTCACACCCCCTTTTCTTTATTTTGATTTGTTACAACTTCCTTGACGAAATCAACATAAATCGCATCAGAGATTCTAGTATTTCCCTGTGTATCGACCCCCTTCCACTGTTATACTTTTCACTTATTTATTTTACTTTTGAAGAAGTTTATTTTATTTTGACGAGTAAAACCACGCTTGTCAGAGACTCAATTTTTTGTTTCTAAGCAGATTGAATTAACTAGTGACCCTTAAGAGATTAACAAGCAGTGCCATAAATGGTTCTGAGTACAAATACCGAGTATGCAGTCCAACCGACACAAGGAGTTTCTTCGATTCTTTCTATCACATTAACAAGGGTTAAAAGGATATGCTTCATAAAATCTTAATACTTGAGTGTTGCATCAAAGTACATTAGTAGAACCTACAACTTTAAGAGGCATTATGTTCTTGCTTAACCATGCACCAAAACTAAATAATTCCATATTCAGCTTAGCACTGCCTTTTCTATTACTTTCTATTCAAAAATTCGTTATTTTTTCCCCATACTGAAGTTCTAATCTAGGATCAGAATCCCAATTTTACACATCCATCTAAGCTAAAGTCCAGAATCCAGACGAAATACACAAATTTTATAATATGACAATGACCAATGAATCAGCTATTTATTCCCTGTGATTTAAAGGTAACCAGCAGTGAACCACACAACCAGCTAAAGGAGAATCCACTGAAAATTAAGACCCACAAAAATAGATAAATAAGAGGAATAACTCAAAATTACCTAGAATCAAAAATCAAAGAAATATTCACAGCTTCTTTGATGAATACAGAGGACGCAGCCCCTTTCCACTTAGGGTCATTGTCTGGAAATATCTGCCCTATATCAGGAAGGCCTAAAGCTCCCAAGATTGCATCCACAACACAATGAAGCAACACATCGCCTGCAACATATCAATCCCCCATATAGTTAGCATCAAAATCAAAGTGTAGAAATCAAGTAAAAGGGGAAAGAATAGATGAGAAAATACCATCAGAATGAGCCTCACAGCCTCTATCATGAGGAATATTAATCCCACCAATGATCAAAGGGTAGCCAGGCTCCAACCGATGAAGGTCGAACCCATGACCCACTCTAAAAGGTAAAGACTTGGAAGGTTTGGTGGAGGTAGTGTCTCCATCTACTGCAACTGAAATAGCGGCTGGTGAGATTGAAGCTCGAGGAGAAGATGATGATTATGCGAAGTTATTACGATGTCTGGGGATGAGATACGGGGATTAGGCGAAAAAATGGACTTGTTATGGATTGATTTAGTGATGCGTTTTGCTGCAATCGGAGAAAAACTGTAAAAGTGCGTGGCCATCGCCGTTGAATTCTTTGTCTAGGCAGAAAACGGGCTCTCTGCTTCTTAGTTGAATACTTTCAGGCTGGCCATACTTTATTTTCCCTAGATTTTTTAATTACCATAAAAAATTATATATCAAATTAATTACCAAATCCCATTAATTATAGGGTAATTGTTTACTTAGCCATCCATTTATTACTTTGTTTCTATTTTGGTCACTTAACTATTATTTTCTTGGGTAAAATACACAAATGATCCTCTATTATAGGATATTATTTTGTTGAGTTTCTAACTATTAGAAGTTATAAAATGATCCATCGACTATATGGTGTTGTTTTGTTGAGTCATCGACTATTAAAAGTTATAAAATTGCCACATTAATATTCATATGTTACAAATTCGTCTTTTTCGTTAAATAATTGGTGGACGTCTGAGCTTGACCTTAACCTATTGACTAGGATATGATAAAATCTGATCCCAAAATTATTTAAGTTATATTTTATGGATTGACTCTTAATTTACATTATGTAGTGGAGTTAATATTTGAAATATTATGTTGTTGAGCATGTTCTTGAAAGCAATGACAGTGTTAATAGGCATCATTAAAATATAATTTTATCATTAAAAACACATACATCTTACAAACACAATTGTTCAAAATCGAGACTGAATAACATTTTCTTTTATCATTGCAATCACTTGTTAATATAAAGGGTTAACTACATGATTGATCATTTATGTTTTTGTTTTGTCCACTTTTCGATTTCAAAAACATAATATATGGACACTTTTATTTTTATTTAATTAAGATGTGGTCAACGAGTTAGCTATCGTTAAATATGTTGGTATAATCACACATTTGGTCCATAATATTTACATATTCTCTCAATTTAATCTTATTTTTAATAAATTAAATAAATTTAATCCTCCAAATGAATGATATTATGTGTCACTAGTATCATGTATCATGCCACGTGTTACTATTCGATTGGAGTATTAACCATTGAGCCAAGGCCAATGCTGGATTTAAAATAAACAACATGATGTATATATTTTGTATCTTATAAATACTTCACTTAAATTCATAATATTTTATATATATTAACTTTAAAAATATTTTTTATATTAACTTATTAAATATATTTTATTATTAGCTTAATTTAATTTAAAATAAAATATTTTTATTTTATTTTAAAAATATATATTTTATGTTAAGATATTTTAAAGTTAAAATAAGAATAAAATATATTTAATAATTTAAAATAATAGTATAATTATATTTAGTAAATTAAGATAAAATATTTATTTTAAAAGTTAAAATACTAATAAACTATATTTTTAAAATTTCATATAAGAATAAAATTTATATTTTTAAATTAAAATAAAAAATATTTTTAAAATAAGTTAATAATAAAATATATATTTAATAAGTGAATAAGAAATATATTTCTTAAAGTTAATATATAAAATTATTATGAATTTAAGTTAAGAGTTTATACACTGAGATATAAAATATATATATTATATTATTTATTTTGGGTCAAGTATTGATTTTAGCTCACTGATTGGGTACATACCTAGTCTTTTAAGAGGCTTAGGTTAAAATCTTTGTAGCCCCAATTTATTTTGTTTTGTTTTAATTTAACAAGAGGGTGACATATTCTTCTTCTTTTGTTATAACATCTGTTTGAAGATTACAATTATGCATATCAGGCTAGTTTTGTTTCTGTAATGCATATCATACTGCAATCGAGGCTTAACCACTTGGGTTGAATTTTTTGGGATGCAATGCAACACACTCAAGCATCTTCGGCAAAACATGCGGGTGAGAGTGAATGTGATCATATTAAATATAATCAACAAGGTAGCCAATTCGATTTAATAATGACAATGATAACGTCAAATACCATAAGTCCATCATCGTATTTCGAGGGTAGATATCAGAGTGCGTTAACTACGCCTCCTTTTGAACAACCAAACCAAGATGAAAATGAAGACAAAGACGATTAAGGCTAACGACTTTGACATACTCGACGAGTCCCACCCATTATCATTCGACCGCTCCTTAATATCGTCAAGAACTTCGAAAATATAAATAAATTATATTATGTACATATTAGATTATAAAAGTAGTTTCTAAATAAAATAATTACTTTACTTTAAATACCATAAGTCCATCATCGTATTTCGAGGGTAGATATCAGAGTGCGTTAACTACGCTCCTTTTGAAAACCAAACCAAGATGAAAATGAAGACAAAGACGATTAAGGCTAACGACTTTGACATACTCGACGAGTCCCATCCCATTATCATTCGACCGCTCCTTAATATCGTCAAGAACTTCGAAATATAATAAATTATATTATGTACATATTAGATTATAAAAGTAGTTTCTAAATAAAATAATTACTTTACTTTTTAATTAATTATTTTTTAAAAAAATTAATCCGAAAGAATTTATCAATTCGATGTGACGAGTTTCATAGTGACTGTTGTTATTGTCCGTTAACCAACTACTATTTTTTTTTTTTTCATGGAATTTTTTATTTTTTCCATTTTTAGTATTAAAACTATTTTTATAATTTTTAGTTAAGTTTTTAATAATCTCATCACGTTAAAATGATGAATCACTTTAATTAAAATAAATAAATGACCCAAATAAAATCTACTCATCCAAAAACTCTGACGAATTCGTGAATCACTACAACTTTTGTTGTATTTTTTAAAATAAAAAAACGGATGCCCTGCTGACCTAAATAAAAATAGAGGGTGGCCTATGAGGGGGGGGGGGGGGAACCGTGGAGACTAAGCTCGTCCCATCGAGGAGCAAGAAAAAAAAGTATAGGAAAACGGAAACAAACGAACAAAACCGGAAAAAGAAGAATGGGGAACAGCCAGTCACCTCCACCAAATCCTCGTTTCAATTCAGCTTCAAGGTTGTTCTTTCTCCTAACAATCTCTTCTGTAATGTTTGGTCTTTTTTTTTTTAATTCAAAGAATTACTTTTGATTTGTCGGTATGATTGAACTAACCAAAAGATTTATGTTTTAGAGCTTTTGCACCGAAGGAATTAGAGGATCTCAAATCACTCTTCACTTCCCTAGCTGCCCAGTCTCAGACCAATGGTCAATATGTTTCTTCTTCTGTTTTTCAGGTGCTCTTCTTCGGGTTTTACCCATTTTTAGTTATGAATGCTTGCTTCGATTTTCTTGGGAATTTTTCCCCTTAACGAAAGTACTAGTTTGGATGTAGGCTTACTTCGGGTTAAAAGGTCCTCTTGGAGACAGAATGTTCGATTTAGCCACCCAGGGGCGCAAAGACGATAGACTTACCTATGAAGATCTCGTGATCACTAAAGTAATTACCTTCTAGTATACCGTATTCCACACCCACCTAAACTCGAAGTCGCATAGATTGAAAATTTTATTGTTGGTTATTTATCACTGCTGAGCAAATGATTAAGAAACAAATGTGGTTGGTTATATATAGCTTCACTTGGTTGTTACTTTATTATTATATGTTTTTACTTATGGGGAGCAAGTAAAAAGGAAAAACATCCTAGTATTCTTGAATGATTGAAGTTAAAAATCAAGATTTTGTGCATGAAAAAATTCATGGTTTTGCTTCAATGTGGAATGGTCACCGTATGTTAGTGTTTGTTACCTTTTTACTATTTGTTTATTCTCAATCAAATGCTACAAGAGTTTTAGTAACTTTTGAAGTAGAAAACTAGTGTCAGAAGGTAATTAACAAGTGCAACAGCTAAGGGAACCTATGTTAGTTGGTGTTTTGAATTGAGCTTGCAGGCCTATTGGTTTTATGTTTCAATTTTTGTAGGGGACTTATGTGAAAGGGACAAATGATGAGATTGAGGAGTTTATTTATCGATTGTTGGATGTCACAGATGATGAAATTTTGACAAGGTAAAATGATGAATTGATGATTGTCTTTGGTAATGTTTCCTTTTCTTCACTGACTCACTTGTTGCTGACTATCAAAATTGTTTCTGTCGACATTTATATCCCAATACATGAAACCTAATGAAGGAACAAATTTTCAAGTTAGAAATTACTCTTATCATCTAATTATTGGAAGCTTCTTGAATTTCTAGCTATCTCTGTCATATCAAGACCTTCTAACTTATGTGGCTCCTTCTCAATGACAGGTCTGACTTAGAATCTGGCCTAGTCACGATGTTTGATCATATATTCCACCTGAAAGGTTCTCAACCAGAATCAAGTTCAAGCTGCTACATGGTGGAGACATTTCTGAATGCTGCGACATTCTCAAAGGATAATGGGGAACGTAATGATAAAAGTATGTCCTTTGAGGATTTCAGATGCTGGTGTACTCTTGTACCATCTGTGAAGAAATTCCTTTCAAACTTACTAGTGCCACCAGATCCAGGTTCTCCATGCTTCTTCTCTGATATGTGCCCTTTTCTTTTGTAATCTTTATCATTCTAGTAGCATCATTGGAGACATAATTTCTTAAAAGTATGAATAGATATGTATATATTATATAATTTAGAATCTGTATCTGTGCGACATTGTTCAAACATGCTTGTGATTAGCTTAACAAAATTATGTAGTTATCTCAATGTGATTTGATTTTATGCCCCCTCCAGCTTAACTCTGATTAAAGCCTTATTCATTTTGGAAAAAACTTATTTTTGTTTGTGTTATACTAATTTGTGAAGGCTTAACTTCGATTAAGCTAGATTATAGATTAACTGGATACATTTCCAGATGGAAATTATGCCAAATCATATTCTGTATCCTATGATTTTGATTGAAATTAGTATCTTAGGTCCAGTTTTAATGTTACTTTTCTGTGTAGGGAGACCAGGATCTCAGATTCCTAAATTGTTGCATTTGGAGAATATTGATCCCAATATACTATTATTGAGAGATGAATATGCTTGGCATATAGGAGGGGCTCTATCTCATGAAGAGATGGAGGAATGGAAACTCTTGTATCATAGTTCATTAAATGGCTTAAGTTTTAACACATTCTTGGGGAACATATTGTAAGTACCCTGCTCCCTTTTTGCTTCCATCTTATCTCTATTCAGACCCCATAAATTGTTGTTCCCATTGGAGTTCAAGTCGTAAGAAATTAATTATCTGATTATTTGTATTTGTTGCTTTTCTAAATAATGATCGATTGATATTTTAGACCGTTTTGGAAGACCTATGGATAATTTTAGTATTCTGTTTTGAAAATATGAAATTGGTCATATCTGATTCTTTTTGAATCAATTATGACTGTATTTTCCTCATTTCTCTGGAATACTTCCAATCATTAAACTCAAATACTCAATCTTGTGTAACATGCTAAAAATTATGGTACGGGCTGTATGGCCTCTATTGCTTTTATTAGGCCTGTAAATGAACTGAACGTTCAGCGAACCGTTCGGCGGGAAATTCGTTTATGTTCATTTATTTATTAAACTAACAAACATGAACAATATTTTGTGATTGTTTAATTAAATGAACGAACATGAACAGAGGGCTCGTTCTTTCATTTACGTTCGTGAACGTTCGGTAATATGTTTGTTCATTTATGTTCGTTCGTTTATGTGCGTTCATTTATGTTCGTTCGTTTATGTGCGTTCATTTATGTTTAGCCCAATCACTCTAGACCCATTTAAAATATTAGAGCCCAATAAATTTTAATCCGATACCTATAAATATTTTAAAATTCAATTAATTTTAAATACAAATAAAAAAAGCTCAAAACAATTAAATAAAATATAATCCTAAAATTGTTAGGAAAGAAAAAAAATCTATTTTCGTTTATGTTCGTTTACGTTCATTTATGTTCATTTATTGTGTTCGTTTACGTTCGTTTATGTTCGTTTACATCCGTTCGTTTATGTTTGTTCATTTGTGTTCGTTTACGTTTGTTCATTTGTGTTCGTTTATGTTCGTTTACATCCGTTCGTTTATGTTTGTTCATTTGTGTTCGTTTACATCCGTTCGTTTATGTTTGTTCATTTGTGTTCGTTTATCATTTAAATGAACGAACACGAACAAGCTACATTCCTTAACGAACGAACACGAACAATAAATTTTTTGTTCGTGTTCGTTCATTTGTTCGGTTAAAGTTAAACGAACAAACATGAACATACCCTCGTTCATGTTCGCTTGGTTCGTTTACAGGCCTAGCTTTAATAACTTCGGGTATTTATCCTTGCTTCTTTATCTAGTTTAATTTGAAGCTGCTTTGATCAAGAACTCTGTAAACCATGTAGTTGATGCACTCTGGTCTTTAGCATATTATACATGGAACAGTAAGAGCTCATTGTGGATGCTGAGAAATTTGGTGGTACATCTATTAGGGAGACCTAAAAGAAACTAACAAGCACTTAAATCCCTCTCATCTCTTGTGACGCATCTAATACCTTTCTTGTCTATGATGAATTATGGGCTTTTTACTAGAATCTGCCAATTGATCTCATCTTTCTGACCGCAAGGTTTGTTTCTGAGGCTTCTTTTTTAGTGGTCCATCATGTGAAATAGAGAAAATGGAAAATTTCTCTGCATCAGATGATGAATTGTTTAACAATTGTTTTGGTCTTTCTCTGTTTTATTTTCTTTTCTTTTCCTTTGTCTCCCTGAAGAAAATATAGATTCCTAGTACGTTCTAATTTTATTTCATTTTCTTGGTTGTTGGGATCATCTTTTTAATAGGTTGCCTAATTACTCAATTGAACTGCAGAAATGATGATGGGCGAACTGTCCTGATCACCAAGGATAGAGAAGGTTACATATTTGGAGGTTTTGCTTCTCAGCCTTGGGAGAGGCATAGCGATTTCTGTGGGGACATGAAGTCTTTTCTATTTCAGCTCTACCCAGTGGCATCTATTTTTAGGCCAACTGGAGCAAACAATAATTTGCGATGGGTATGTTTTACTTGGCTCTTATATCATTTTCTTCTAGGTTTGTTTTCTCTTTCATTTCAAGCTGAAACCAAGTATGTTTGAATCCTTTGCCTCCGATTCCGGTACTTATATTTTGGCTCTTGCTAGTAGGCCTGTCATTGTTGGAATAAACTCTAGTGAATCTAGTAAAAAATATCTAGAGAATCTAAATCTAGACTGTTTCCTGAACAGTTATGACATCGTGCAGCACACTTTGAATTTTGCAGAATTTATTTTAATAGTTTTCATAACTTGAGAACGGATTGGAATTATCTGTAATCATAGCTTGGGGTTGTCCAATATTGATTCTTCTAAAAGCTGGGATTAAAGTGGGTTTTAATGACGACTAAGATGCAAATAATTCTTAATGCTGGGCCTTGGGGTGGTTTATCCAACTCCATTCCTACTTTTTGATGTAGTTGTTTCATATCTCCCTTTTTATCTACTTCTCCAAATTTTGAGTGGAAATCTGCACACTTCTTATGCATATATGAGTTAAGCTGTTTATGTTTCTAACAATAAGCATTTGCAGTGTGCTGCAAACTTCAGTTCAGAGACAATCCCGAACGGCATTGGTTTTGGAGGACGCATAAATCACTTTGGCTTGTTCATCTCGGCAAGCTTTGATGAAGGGCATACTTTTTCCTGTACCACTTTCAATAGCCCTTGCCTTTCTAAGACCAACAAAATATACCCAGAAGTTATAGAATGCTGGGGAATTGTTAGAAAAGGAGTGGAACAAGAAAAAGCGGATGTCGTTAAGGGCACAGTGTTAGAAAGGTTCAAGGAGGACAGACACATGCTCAACATGGTGGGGATTGCAAATGCAAGTGAGTAGCATGGTGTTTGATAATCTACAAAAGTTGCATAACTAAATGATGAAGGCACCAATTCATTGCAGCACTGTACACTAGAATCATTTGAATATGCCCTTGGTTAGTTGTGTATTACTGTATCCTATATATGCTGCTGTGGATGATGAATCCATGCCCTTTGAAATATTGTAATGCTATTGAAAAACGGAAGACTACTTATCATGAAATATTGATAGCCATTATAGTATCCTTTACTATTTGTTGGTGAAATATGAACTGCTGTTTTCGATATTCTTATATAGTCTTTCATTTACTCGTTCACCTCTAATCAACGATCAAGTATGTGGTTAAAAGTTTTTCATATTCATTTATATCCGGTTGGAACAAAATTTCACTCCCCTCTTGAATTGTTAAAAAAAAGTCATTCACAATGAAGAAAAATCTTAAAAATATCAATTAATAACTATTAAATTAAACATTCCAAAACTTTTTTTCTATGAATATATTTAATAACTATTAAATTAAATAAGTAAACTTTTTTCTATGAATATATTTAATAAAACACAATGTATCTATGGACAAAATTATGCTTTGTCATGGGTCACTATCTTAATTTTTTTATTATTGAAATATATATATGAACAAATATATACTTAAACTTCTTAATTTTAATTTATTTTGATTTTATTTTTTATTATATTTTTTCTCTTTGTATCATAACTCCGTTCTTGAATATATTTTAAATAATATTTGAACAAATAATTAAAAATAGTTAATGATAGAATTATCGTTGTTTGCTGGTGAAGAAAAAAAATATAAGACTAGTATATTTAATAACTATCATAATTGAATCCCATGGAAAATTAAATAATTTAGCTTTGCTTTTGTCACACACTTGTAGACAAACCAGCTTTCATAGTACTATAACAATAGAATGAAGTCTAGACACACACAAAAGAGAAGTCCCATTTTTTTCTATGTAATTAATCTATGGACGTCGGGAAGGAACCTCAATCAAACACTAGGACGATGAAAAAAGCTCCGCTAATAATAAACTGTATCATGCTTTCTATAGGTAACTGTGCAGGTCCACTTATGATTCGCCTCTACTTCATCCATGGTGGCAAACGAGTCTGGTTCTCGAGCTGAATCGAGACCGGTGCTTGGCCCGTCATCCTCCTCCCAATCTCTTGTGCTTACTTTTACCGTTCTAGGACCCAACCCAGTTCCCAAAACAAGTTTTTCTCTATGAAACCGCACTTGTTCCTTGCTTCCGCCGTCATTGGAATCCTCACCGGCCTTGACGACTACCTCTATGCCTATGGGGTCGCTCGTCTTTCGTTTTCGACTTCATCTTTAATAATTGCGTCGCAGTTGGCTTTCACAGCGGGCTTTGTTTTGTTTTGGTGAAGCAAAAGTTCACTCCTTATTCCATAAACGCCGTGTTTATGTTAACGATCGGAGCCGGTGTTCTAGCTATGCATACGAGCGGAGACCGTCCCGCGAATGAATCGAACAGGGAATACGTTTCGGGTTCATAATAATCATCGGAGCTTCGCCTTGTATGGCTTTATTCTGCCTCTGGTGGAGTTAACGTAAAAGAAAGCAAAACAAGAAATCAGCTACGCGCTTGTGATGGAGATTCAAATGGTGATGTGTTTGTTTGCTGCTGTTGTTTGCACCATTGGCATGCTGCTTAACGATGATTTCAAGGTTACTTTTTCTTCTCTTTCTATCATTAACTCTTGCCAGTTTAAGCACATCCCATTTCCATAAAACAAAATTATATAGTTCAATATATATTGAAGTTGATTAAATAGTTATTTTTATTTTTTTAATATTATGGTTCAAATGTTTGATTTTTGAGATAAAATGATTCATAATGTTTGATTAAATAATTACTTTAGTTCTCTTCTTTTTTTTTTAGTATATCGATCCCAAAGTTTTATTTTAAGTTAAACAACATCCATATTTTAGAGCGTTCATTGTTTATTGACTAGCATAAACCAAACGACCTCAATGGGTAAGGAATTATTATTATCCTTTGAAATCTCAAGTTTGAGTACGACGTCTGCAAAGATGTACAAGTGTTTCATTGTCAAGTGAGAGAGTCTTTAAAAAAAGTTTATACCTCGTATTCACCGTAAACTAATTAAACAAATCGTTTGTCTACTAAAAGTTTCATACACAGAAGAGAGAAAGAACATGAACCAAAATGCCTCCGAATGTTAAAGGCATTTTTTGTGTGAATATATCAAGACTAAAAGCTATTAATTGAATTCTAAGGTGCAGAGAAGTACCTATTTAGAAAGTAAAATTGACTAGATATTTTGCAGGTAATTCCAAGGGAAGCAAGAGAATACGAGCTAGGGGAAACAATTTTTTACGTGATAGTGATTTGTAGTGCAATAATATGGCAGTGTTTCTTCTTGGGAGCCATAGGAGTAATCTTTTGCGCGTCGTCTTTGTTATCGGGAATTATAATTGCTGTTCTACTACCCGTAACTGAGATTTTGGCAGTCATTTTCTACAAGGAAAGTTTCCTCTCGAAGAAGGGAGTGGCACTTGCTCTCTCACTTTGGGGCTTCTTCTCTTACTTCTACGGTGAGATTCAGGAATCCAAGAATAACAAACCCACCCTTCAAACCGAGGTGGCCTCAGTTTCTGACCCTCAGGGAACTGTGTAGAACAGCGGCGATCATCCGAGTGGCTAAAAGTTCAATGGAATATTGCTCCATAAATTTTTCATTGTTGAATCTTTTCAATGTTCATGTAAGAATTTATGATTTCAGTTCCATAACAATGACAACTATTAATAAAATATATTCCCGATTATTCTTCTCCAACTATTAATACAATCTAATAATTTGACGTATATCATAAATATAAATAAAATCCATTGAATCTATAAGTGATTTTAGCGGTTAAGGAAAGTATTCTTTTTTCTAAAGTTTTTGTGTTAAACAATTGCGTTTGCATTGTATATGTGTGTTGTCGATGGTTAATAAAGATTCTGAATAAATAATATCATTGAATGGTTTTAATGGTAAAAAAATATTTCGTACAAGTCCCGAATTTAAGTAACTACGCATGTCTATAAATTATGTGTTATCATATTCTAAAAGGTTTCCAAATAAATTTACCTAATTATCAATTTAGATCATTAAACAAAATCACGAGTAGTTTTCCTTTTTTTCCCCACTCAAAACTTATGTAACGAGAGCAGAATAAAAAAAGATCGGTTGAACAACCACGTCAAAAGGAGACCCAAAAATAGACTAGAAACAGCTAATTTCGTTCTTGGTTTTAACATTGAGAGGCTAATAAAATATAAATTTACGTGTATTGAGGCTTCGTGTACTATTAAAAAATTATCTTTAATCTCAAAAAGAAATAATTTAATAGCATAGTAAAGAGAAGAATGATCGATCTTAGAAATTCTTATGTAGAAGCCTTTTGATTTTGATTGGGGCAAAAATGATAAGTAAATGGGGGTTTGATTGAAAGAGTTTAATGAAAATAAATGTAAAAAAAGAATTAAATCTAAGAAATTTAAAGAAGGTAAAATTAAGAAGAAAATTCAATTTGAGTAAACAATCTCAGGCTTCGTTTTGCCTCAATTCCAATTGATCATCGAATAAGGTTTTACTTCGGATTAATGTTGATTACAATATACAATGTTCAACCCTTTTAACTTGTTTTTCTCTCCAGTAGACTGACAATCCAAAATCAATCTTTGAATTTCATTCCTTATTTAGGCTAACCACGACTATCGACGCTAGTGCCAATTTAGTTTTAAGTGTTGGAAAAACCCGACTCGGACTATGTTGTCTTAATGAGAATCGAATCCAATCTCAATTTCCTTTAGTGGGCCGTCGCTAAATGTGTTCCCAGGAAGCCGAACTTGCTACTAGCTGATTCTTCCACCCAACTTTATCAGAACAACATCCAAGCCAACGTGCACTTATTGAAACGAAAGTGTTTTGATTTTAAAGGAAATTCTGATTGCCAATCCAAGTTTGCAGAAAATTGAGAATTTAACCCGAAGGTATTAGGTTCTTTTCAATTCTCACGATCGGAATTGAGTCATCGCTTCAGCCTTTGGCTTATTGAAAAATTAGCTAAGCATGATAGAAATCATACCCAGTATGTTTTAAAGAAAGAAAATAAGAATTTAAAAGTAAAAACGAAATGAAAGAAAAGAAATACTTTATAAAATAAGAAAACAAGAACAAAGCTAAATTCAAGATATGTTTCAAGCTTACTCTGAGAGGGTATTTATAGATTTCTAAAACCCTAAAAATGAAGTAGAAATGACTAAAGATAATTCTTGAAAATAGTCAAATAAAATCCTAAAAACAAGTGATAATTCCTAATTCAAATTTAAACTAAAATGAGTCATTTGCTCGTCCTTTTAGAATGACTGGACCACAATTTGAAAGCTGCTGATTGGACGCCATGTCAGACGTTGTCATGCTCTAAATCATGCCCACTACTCCAGCCTTAACTCTAGATAATAAAATATGCAAAACTTCGCCTTTTTAGTGTTGTTTCTAGAACATAAAGTATTGCATAGAAAATGAATCACAGTACCCAACTCAGTAGTATAAACTAATCAAGGAGTAAATAACAACAAAATAATAGCTAAATAAATCACTCATCAAATTCTCTCTCACTTATTCAATGCTTTTCCTCAAGCATTCCTTAATCAAAACATCAAAATCACAAGTTACCATCCGTCATCTCGCAATATATCTAAGACAACCAAATGAATCAAGGTCATAACAATTTTCGAAATCGAGAAACAATCAAGTAAAGGCACGACTAGGAACAAATTTAAGCAAATCATGACATCCCAATTATCCTTAAACTTCAATGCTTCGAGACTCAATACCTCACAAGGATGCACTCATTATCACTCAATGTGTTTTGGGTAAAAGAAAAATCGCTCAAGTCGGAACTAATCAAGACATTACCATAAGCTTGTAATCAAATCAAGTCTCCACTACTAAAAATGAACGAAATCCATTAATCAAGGTTTCACGAGACTTTTTTGCGTCAAAATAATTCCTTATTCTCAAATAATAAATAAAGGATATTAAACGTAGTAAGAGAGAAGTAAGGTCGATCCCACAAGAACTAAGAAAACTTCTTGATTTATTCTTGTTTAATCTATGAGCCAAGAAGTAAGTTTAATAGTATTTA